GACTGGTTATTTTTAGAATCACTAGAACTCCACAGAATGGTTCAAGATGATGCTAAGAACATGGAACATTAGCAGAGCATTTTGGAAGATAGTTATTAGAAAGGCACAAAATTGTTTCACGATTGTATCCTACTACTTTTAGATGGTTCAATAAACCACAAACTATTTGGGTTCATCACAGTTCAATAGTATTTCTATTGCCCGTCACACACTGTGAAAGGTAGCTGATAATATGTGGTTGGTTTTGTAAAGAATTCTGATGATTTACTCTTCTTTGAAGCAAGGCTAGCATGATTAGTAGTTAGCTAGATCTTTGATTCCAATAACTTGACCAATAATAATTTACCGTGATTCTAAAGAAAGTTGTTAATTGTCTTGTTTTCAAGGTCAGCTTCTGTTATTTGTGAATTTTTTTTTCTCTAGGCGCTTCTCAACGGTAGCAATACATTGTCTCTTGATTTCTTATTATGTGCAGACAGGAAACTTGGACAAATGGGGCTTTTAGATTTTAGAGACAGATTTTATTTTATAAGAAGAGACCCACTACACCCAAACATGCAGGAAGATGCTATCATACTACAAGAAGCTTATGATGGGATTGGTTGTTAAGAATCATTTCAGACCTTAATGGGACGAATATGGGCTCAGCAGTTGCTGTCATAGACGATTCGGCACTTGAGGAGCTTAAGGTAGTTGTCAATCTTGTGTGAATCCCTGCGGAGGCAGTGCAGCAGGTTATAAAAAGCAAATAGACGAGAGTCTTCGTCCGCCATCTGCAGAGATGGAAGTCCTGACCAGACAGAATAGACCTCGTTTTCTTTGACTCCCGGATGAACCTAGTGGCCAGAAAGACAGTGACGGAGCATTAGCAATATTAGTGCGAATTGACCTTTGTTCTTTGTAGTTGCTGAATTTAGCTTGGGTGAAAAAGATATCCATCAATAGCTGAAGGGATAAATGAACGCGGTGTATCCATACAATGGAATGTTACTCAGCTATCAAAAGGAGCTATTCTGATATGCATATGTGCTAGGACATGGAGGGAGCTCTAGACATCTCTCTAAACCACAGAGTCAGCAGTTTGAAATCGTTAGCTGCTTCACAAGAGACCGATGAGTCCTTATATGCCTGTCAATATTGACTCCCTTGGAAACCCACAGTGGCAGCTCTGTGGGACTCACCCTGTCCTTTAGGGTCACTGTGAATTGGAATCCACACGAAGGCAGTGAGTTGGGTTTGTGTTGATTCCATGTGCAAGCCTAGAATCTCGGGGGGGGGGTGTGGTGGTGGGGAGGTTGGGGGAGGTTTAGGGACTGGGCAAGCAGCTTAGCAACTTTAGGAATGAAAAGGAATTTGGAATGTACTTATGTATGAACTGTGGTTGACCTGCTTTACTGTTTCCTACAGAGTAAGAATCTCTCTCTCTCTCTCTCTCTCACTCTCGTTCTTGCTCTCTCTCTAATCTAGGATCCCCTACTAGAATTCAAAGGCTATTTATGTAGCTATTTGGCAGTTATTCATTTGCCTGTGTGTGTGTGTGTGTGTATATATATATATATATATATATATATTCAAAGGACATCAAAGGATACACTATCCAAGCACTACAGATATTGTTGGTTTGCTTTCTGCTTCTTTGTATTGGGTGCTCGAGCATTAAGATAAAAATTGACTGAGCATTGGAAATGATATAAACAGGAATAAACAAATAAATGGTGGTAAAACAGAACAGAAAATGAAGCATGATAGAAGAAATTTTAAATTGTGACCTCAGAAAACAGGCCAACTGTAATGAAGAAAATAACTTGAAAACTTATTTTAGCTCAGACTTGCCAAGGTTAAAATGTGCTTTGTGTTTGTGGTGAATATATTCCTCACCCATGAAAATGACAAAAAATGATACATGATAACATGTACTTAGAACACAATAAGAAACATCAAATTGCCCCTGTTATTATTCCTGTAATCATATATTTTTCTTTAGATGATGCATTATTTCTGAACTTCAGAGAGCGTTTCTCTCACTAATATTAAAATCATCCCAACTGAATAGAAACATATGCTACAAATACGAGCTCAGTTTAAATATGACAAATTATTGTAGAGTTAAAGATGTTTGATACCAGGACCTCAAGAAAAAAATTACAACGAGACACTTTCTATCAATTACGAAACAAAAGAAAACAATCCTCCAAAAATAGACAGAGGAACTTTCTTCTTTCCTGGTGACCTTTCGAAACCTAGCCCTGTGGGGAATTGTCCATGTGATTTTGAAGTTCTTGTGTCCTGTCTAACTCACAATTTTTGGTGTTTAGAGAAAAGGAAATTCTTTGAGGAACCGTTTATCTTGCTGATTCTGGTCTCTAGTGCTCTCTCCCTGAAGTGTTCAAACCACCTGACCTCGGGAAGAGACAGTTCTTTGGGAAGGTAATCCTTTAGTGCTTCTTGTGCAACATAGGGAATGCTGTCCCTAGTAGGTATGACAGCAGGATTGTAGCATTCAATGGCCATAGACTCTACTATAGGTAATTCACAACTTACAATAGGGTTCTGTAATTTCCATGAAGGTTAGGTAACTGTTTAAAAATTTTGTATTATTACTGCCTTTGGTTATCAGTATCTTTAGAAAGAAGATCTTTATTTGCCTTTTGGGGTTAGAAATGTCACACATAAACGTACAGATATATTTTTAGCATATACATAACATTAATAAGATGTATTAAAAAAGAAAATTTTTAAAAAGGACAGTCCTGTGTGCCGTTTGTCATGACTTGAATATGCCCTCAACTACCTTGGACATGCCCAGGGCCCACCTGTACGATGAATATGCCCTACCTGTACCTGAACATGCCCAAGGCCTACCTGTACTATGGATTACTCTGATTTCACTTTATTTAATAGCAATCAGATTTATAGTGCTAACATTTCATTGTTGCACAGTGCGATCTGGAGAAGCCCATTACTCATCACAGATAGCAACGTTTCCACTGATGAGAAAATGAAGGAAGGTGCTCGCTCACCTGGCCAACTATCTTTTCCATCCCCTCTAGAAGTCGTTTATTTTGCTCCTCAATTTCAATGGCTCTGGACAGGATCGCGTCGGGGGCTTCTTCCATGCCACGCACTTCGGAGACCAAATGATACAGAGGGTCGTTCCAGGAACGCAGCACTTTTACAACCAGATTCAAAAGGTCTTCATGCTACACAGCCATAAAATAAAATCAATCAGTGGGAAACTACCTGCTTACCTAGATGTGACTTTTGCTGAGAGAGACAGACCTTACATGTATCTTTGTTACGTCAATGTGCATGCAAACATACTTCTGTGGGTAAAACGAGATGTATACCTGGGAAATTTAAGCTATTGGACTACATTGTGGTTGTAGGCTGTCGAGTTGCTTCCAACTCACTGTGGCTCTATGTGAGATGGTACAATTGCCCCCATGTCGTATTATATGCTGTAAGTTTTATTGGTACTGACCGCCAGGTCTGTTCACCTGCAGAGCAGCGATGCATTGGGTTTGAACTGCCAACCTTTTGGTTAGCAGCCTGATGTGTAAACCCTGCACCACTAGGGCTCTGTTATTGTCCTATCATTTATTAAAGTAGTAACAAAATAAGAATCTGACTTTTAAAGTGATTATATCTTCTAAGGAGGGTTCTGATTCATAACACGAAGAATTGTGTTTTCCCACTGAAATTCTCCCATCTGCCCATTCCGAACGTTTGTTTCCACCTAAGTAGCTTGTCCAGGAGGAGAAACCAACGAGTTTGTTGGTACAGAGCATGTGTCTGAACTACCTGATTCAGGGGAGATCGATTCCATCAATGTCCCTGAAAATGGGTCCAGGTAATTTATATGAATCATCCTATGACGATTCAGTCACAGGAAATGAATAAAATCATCTACACAGTGCATGCTAGACTGATGTCGAAGGAGGCCTGGTGGAGTTGTGAGTCATGAGTTGGGCTAAAACTGCAAGGTCAAGAGTTCTAAACCAGCGGCTGTTCCTCAGGAGAAGGATGAGGCTTTCTAGACCCACGAAGACTGACAGTCTTGCAAGCGCACAGTTCTGCTCTGTCCTCTCGAGGTGCTATGAGCAGGCATCACCTGGCAATGAGTTGAGAGATGCTGATCCCTTGCACTGGTCTAGTGGTTGTGGAAACAAATGTAGAGAAGAATTGGATTGACATTGCACAGGAAACATGTCCAGGCGCTGAGTAAGAAAGAACGGAGCTAGAAAAAGGTGCCGGGCAGATAGTGAGTGGTTTCTCTAGGAGGATTCTTGTATAATAACTATGAAGGCTTTGTCTTGGATGAAGCCTGGCTTCACGGTTGACCAACCACGGGAGTGGTGGTGCAAATTCCATGACCTCTTGGAAGCCCTGTTTCCTTATCTCCGCAAGAAAATGGTCCCTCACGATTTAGGGTGACTATGATGCCCAATCGCAGTAATGCACACAGGCTCCTTTGTAATGTGTCTGAAAATGTAGTAGCTCTCAATCAATGTTGGGTTTCTTCTTGGTCTTTTTCAGTTTTCCTGTTCCGTCTTCATCTTACCTCTACCCTGATGATAATTAATGGGATTAGCAAACAGAATAAATTCTGGTGCTGTTAATGAAATGTTTCAAGAGAGAACAGTGTGAATGTGTGGGATCTGTAAGCAAAATGTTTGTTTTAGATCATGTTAAAACCATGGCTATTGCACCGAATCAGAAAGAAATGGATTGCAAAGATTATGAAAAATGAAGCTTAGATAAATGATCAGGGTTTGATAGGTAGAATTTGTTGTCATCAGCACAGAGGCAATATTTCCAGCTGTGAGAAGCAATATACAGCATGGCGCAGGATAATTTTAGAGGTGTCTTATAATTTAGTGGACAGAGGCAGAGGAGTGAGAAGAATAATGAAGTAAGGTTTCAGAGAAGTAAGCAGAACTAGATGAGAGTTTGAAGTCTAGAAGGACATGGCTCAGGGTTTCACGGTCAGTGAAGTTAAATGTCGTCTACGTGGGATTCATTAGTTATATGTAATGCATGCAACTGCACTTGAATTTCTACTGCATTCACATTTCTAACCCTGTATACATTTTACAAACCCTGCATTTTGATGTCGACTCCAATTCATATTAAGTGTTCATGCAATCGACTATCTGCAATTCATCTATAAAGCTTTGGTTCCGCCAAGGTTGGCTCTGTAGATAGCATAGAGATACGCTGTTATTGTCATGCTAGCACTTGATTTTCCCTATTGTCTCCACTTCACGAGGCGACTTGTCTTCCATTGCCCATTTGTGCTTCGCTTTGCTCGGCATACGCGATTGCCATGGCCTGTTAGAGCGACCTTAGTAACACAGGACCTGGATGAACAGATGGACAAGAGACTCACATGGATCTGCTGGGCTTGCTCTTTGTCCTCCGGAGTCGCAAGGGAAGAGGTATGGCAGCTGTTGATGGCCTTGGTAATGAACCCACGGCCCTGGGCATACCGTCTATCCTAGAAATGACCAACGAGATGCAAGAATGGTGGTTGTTTAAGCATGAGTAAGTGAACCCACTAAGACAACGTTAGTACATTTGATAGCCATATTTTTAATTAAATGAGAGCTTCATAAACATTTAAACTAAACATTTAAAAAATAGCCCATTCCTCTACTTCTTTTTCTCTGGCCTCTATACACTCATTTTTGTTTTCATCAAATTTTTCTGAACTCTAACGCTTCCATCAAATTCTCTTGTTTCATGTCACCTCTTTACTATTTGGAGAGGAAACACTAAAACTAGGGGGGGGGGCAGAAGGAAGCCGTGAATGCTTTAATTTAGTATTTAATATTTGAGCCAAATGTCATAGTGCATATAGATAGCCCTGTTTCGCTACCACTATCTCTTGTTTGCGGTGGGTCAGAGTTGACACGCTTATCTTAACAGGCATTACACAATTATAACTTTCCTTTGATTGAGCTCTGAATCCACACACTGTGTACTGTCCCATGCTCATCCTAGGTGCTGAATACAGCTTTGTTGACTGTGATGATAAGTCAGAGGAAAGAGGGTATATGATTTTAGCAGCTGACAGGAAAAGAAAAAGAAAAACAATGAGCTAATATATTGGCGAAGAACAAAATAACCTTTAGCCAACGCTTGTGAAATTTTGAATGATTCCTGGGGAGCTCTGGAAGACAAGCGATGGCCATTGAAGAAGGAACGACAAGAGAACAATCTCTAAGCGTATCAAAATAACTGTGTGCGAACTCTGCTTTCGGCCCTCTGCGGACGCCTTTTGGTTTCCTGGAGAAGAAGCGATCTATGGCCTGCATCTCCGTTGAGTGAAAAGGACTTCCAAGACATGTTCAAAAGTTCCTCAGTTCGAAAGAGAATAACTGTTCCTACTTCTAAAGCACTTTCTGCTGCAATTCGAGACCAGTATGCTGGAACTATGAAAACGATTCCTTTGGGATGCGTACATAAGGCTCGTGTTCCTGACAAGGAATGCTGCTTAATTTACTGGCGTTCGATCAGCCCAAACGTACTGTCGTGCAGTTAGCGTCTGTCGGGTGCCCACAATGAGCTTGGCCAAACATGTAACAGAAACTTGCAAGCAACGGAAATCAACAGGCTTCTGTGTTCTTAGCACTGCCTCACATGACTCTATGCTAAATGCTGAATATCTACTTAAGTTTTTTTAAACCGAGTGAAGTAGAGAACGATTATTTTAAGCTGACGCTCTTTAGGAAAATACTGGAACACTGAGATGTCACGGACCTGTCCCATTCATTTTACTGAGCCTTTAATGGGTGCCTCCTGCCCTCCCCAAAGCAAACCAGCTGCCACCTAGTTGATTCGGAGGCACGGCAACCCCCTGTGTGTCAGCGGGTTTGTCATGTTCTGGACTTAGACTATCAGGTGCTATCAGGTAGACTATCCAAAATGCTCCTGGGTAGACTCGAATCCCCAACTTTCACTTAACAGCTCAGCGCATTCAGTGTCCCCACCACCCGTGGCCTCCTCTTTCCCCTATTGAGGAGCAAGTATCCTTTGGAATGTGACCCCCGAAGTTGTCTGGTCTAAGCTTGAAGCCCTTCTCATTCAGGAGCAGGTTCCTAATGGGAGGAAGTGAGAAGCGCAGGACTTACGAATTCGTTGAACATTTCTGAGGAGAGATTATGGATGTAGTGAGACAGGATGACTGCTCGGTCAAACAGGTCCCGGAGAGACACCTGGCAGTTGACAGCCCCTCTGGGACAAATGGGCAGAGAGGCCACCCCCTGGCACAGGAGCAGGTTGGACAGCAGCAGCAGCAGCAGCAGGAGCGACCCTGCTCAAATGAAAACACGAGCCCTGCTGAGATGATCTATTCACCGACGAGCTCAAAAGCAGTCCTGTGGAAGGAAGCCTGATTGCTCCCATGGTCCCCAGCTGCATTTTGGGGCACTGTAATAGCCGAGTAGGGCGGGTGGGGTGGGGGGAGAGGATCGACACCTTCCACTGTGTAAATTTAGAGATATAATTATATTTGCACAGATATATAGTTTGAGAAGTAGGTGACTCCGTGCATTTTGGTATTGCTCCCAGAAGTGCTTCCGGACTTTGCAAACATTTGGAACTTAAATTAATTTTGAGCCCGGGGTCCAAGTCACTCTTTTCAGGTAGTAGAAAGCCCTGGGAATTTCTGCAGCATTGGCAGCGCCGGGGCACGCCAGGAGTTTGCAATTTTTTTTAACTCTATGTTGCCCAAACCTTGAATGTTAGAAATCGAAATGTGCAGAAGAGCACCATTAGTCAGTTGATTGTCATCCTCAAGGCGGACAAAGATAATTGTGCGATAGATGCCTTGTTCACAGTGAATGTGGATTGAATTCTATCTTGTAAAGAACGCTCGAGTCAGGACCTGCTATTTTACCATAATAATCCCACGCATTCGATTGAGCACTTTACCAAAGGTTCCAGAGATTTTCGCATTTGATTTAGCAATAATGCTGTGAGGTTCTCTGGGCCTGCCTTAGTACCCTCACGTTCTATTGATGAAACAGAGAGCTTCCAGAGGTTCCTGATGTCCCATTATCGTAAGCAGGTGTCAAGGAGGCAGGAAGGCAACGCTACGGCCTTTTCCCTCTGCCTTGTCCCATTCAACAGACCCCTGGGCTCCAGATCTATACAAGGGACTAGTGTTTGCAGAGGTCCCTGCCATTGCTGATCCAGAACAAGACTGCCTTTGAAGAGGCCTTAGGAAACTTGATTTTGCTGGTTTTTTTCCTGCTATAGTTATAAACATCCATTTTCATATGATACTAAGATATCAATTATTTCACATCTAAGATATCAATAATTTGTAGCTTTAAACAGAAAGAAAGCCTATGTAGTACACAGGTTAAAATACAATTTTACTTTCATTGTAGCTACTGCAAAAGGATATCTGATGTAAATCTGCATTTATCAGAAATGAAATCTCTAACATTTGGCATCAGAATAAAAAGTTTTCATTAATAAATACAGTTGGGAATGTCCAAGATAAACTGTTAAGCTAAAAATGTATGTATGAAAAAATGTCTAAAGACAAATTGGACATAGAGTGTAACTAAATAGCCCTTTGATTGCTTAATGAAAAAATTTTAAATTTAGTGAGATTATCCACAACACACCCATTAAATTTTCCTCAAACATGATACTTCTGAAAAATTTATTTCACATATGTTCTAGTCCTGTGCTGTAGCTGGATGTGTCCTTTAGAAGAAGAAAGCTTTATAGATAGAGAACTTAGAATGGTGACTCCAGGAGATTAATATAATGGATCGATATTTAAAAAATTCTGAGTGCTTTTGTCTGCACATTTTTCATTTAAAGGACTGGCACAATAAAAGATGAGAAAAATAGGAAACTATTTTTGTTTTTGATTCAGAACATACATTTTCTGATTGATACTAATGTTCTCTCCTCACCAAGGTCCCCCAAGAAAGGAAAGGCAATTAGCTATTACCAACCTGGTTTTTGTACTGAGATGTCATTTGGGTTCAACCAATTGACGGACTAGTATTAGAGACATGTCTGCTATCCTTTTGCATATCCTGATTTTACAATTGAACATGTTTTAATCAGATTGATTTGACTTTGCCAAACCACATAAAAACTTGGGCACCGAATTCTATCTTCTGGAAGGGTAAACCAGTGGTCCTGTGGGCTCATCCGGTCCTTTTCTAGCCAAAGGGTTGTTCCCCAACGTCAGCATGTGGGCCTGTGCCAGTGTAACCCCGTCTTATGGAGGGCTGCTATGTGCCTTGTCTGAAGAATATCTGCGACCCTTGCTCCTACCCACCAGATGCCCATTATCCCAATGGGAAACTTCTGCAAACTTTGTCAAATGTCCTCTGGGGTGGAGAACTCACCCTTGGTTGAGAACCATGCTTCTTTCCCACCGTGTTCCTGTACATCTGCTTACCCCAAACTTCTAACAACTGTACACCCAATAACTTTAGCCAGCAACCAGATCATTAGGTAAAATTTCAAAGCAGTATTCACCCAAGCAGTATTGCTAAAGCCAATGATTGGATTCATGGTTACACATACCTTTCGGCGAGGACCCTTTGTTGGCCATTGTGGTGATGTTTGCAGGAAGGACCCGTCACCAGAGAAGATCTGGAACTTCTACAGCCTTCTTGTCCCCAGGTATGGGCTTTATAAGTCTTTGACATCTTCATGAATCTATTCATCGGAGATTCCTCCCCTTAACCTGGTCATCCATTTCCGTCACTGAGATTACCCCCATAATTTCAAACATCAAATGATATTTTATTGTAATTCATATTCAGGAAGATGTACTGCCTAGGAATGAACATTCTAGGAAGCATTTTGACTAATTAGATCAAAGGGAAATGAAAGAAATGATGAAATGATGATGGTGCGACCTGGAGACGCGTTTAGGTTGGGGGATCTACCATAAACCTACAAAAAAAGGCAGTACTTTGACATTTATCTTTTTTCTCTGCAGGTTTTAGACTACAGAGCATTAGATTTCACGTATATGGTAGTTTTGTGCATCAATCAAGGGTTAATCAAGATTCCTAAGTGAAGTTAAGATTTCAAAATGGATACCCTACAACTAGGCATAGAAGAAGTAGTTAGCCCAGTTAGACACCGAAGGGATTATTGCCTTGAGAGAAATGGGGAAGGATATGAGGAAGGTTGGAAAATAAACCATTGATTAAATATTCTCGTGCACCTATACTTGTTCTAGAATGAACGGGATGCCACCTCTGACTATAGAGTTTATTTTGGGCAAGTGACATAGTGATTTTCAAAGGCGAACACACATACACACAGCAAATTCATACTCATCCTGCCATATGATGTAGTAGACCAAACCTCAAGCCAATCATTCCAGCTGTCCTAAAGGAGAAGGAGGGATAACTTGTTATTAACTTTTGATCCTTTGCCTTCTCTGACTCAGAGCCACTCTGGGCTAAAGTGACAAAAATTCATTTTTCATGGGCTGAAAAGTTCCATTCACCTTTGAAAGATTTCCTACCAGAAATGTTTATAATGAATAAGGATTGAGTTATTGACGACTTTTTCTCATTTAGAGTCCAACTGGCGGTCATGAAAATCAGCCAATGACCTTTAATTCTGATGTCATCTAGTGTTTCCTAGAGCAAACTGTGGCCCATCTGATCATTAAAAACCAATCACTTCTTATGCCATTTAATTTCTCTAGAATGCAGAAATTATCAAACACTATGAATTCATGTTGCAGCAAGTAAACTTTTGATGAAGATAAGTTAAACAAAAAGAGGACAGAAATTAAAACAACAACCGTCACAGTAGTACATGACCAGAGAGCTGCCAGAAATTCAAGCGGGGTTTAAAAGAAGATGTGGAAAGAGAGATGCATTAACTGATGACAGATGGATCTTGGCTGAAATCAAAGAATACTAGAGAGATGCTTACCTATGTTTTGTGGACTATGCAAAGGTAATCACCTGTGCTGACCATAATAAACCATAAATGGCCTTGAGAAGAATGAGGATTCCAGAATGCATACTTGTGTTCATGTAGAATGTTTACATTAACTAAGAATTAATTAAGAATCAGTTCTTCTAATTAAAAAAGAGTTGTTTAAAATCAGGAAATGAGTTGTGTCCTTTCACTATAGTTATTCAATCAGTAGGTTGAGAAAATAATCTGAGAAGTTGGGATATAAAAGAACATGGGCATCAAGATGGAGAAAGAGTCATTAACAACCTGAGATATGCAGATGATGCCTGGCTTGCTGAAATCAAAGAGGACTACAGCCTTCAGGAGGGATTACACCTCAACATAAGCAAAAAGAAAAAGATTACAACCGGATCAATAGGCAAAATCACAATACATTGAAAACATATTGAATGTATCAAGTAGGTGTTTTTGTTCCCCTGGATTCAAAATCAACACCTGTGACACAACAATCAATAAATCAAATGATTGGTTACATAGGGCAACTCTGCTTCACAAAACCTCCTTCAAATAATAATCATCAAAGACATCACGTCAAGTACTAAGGTATAACTGAAACCAACCAGGATATTTTCAATTGCCAATATTTTCCATGTATGCAAAAGCTAGAAAATGAACGACAAAGACGGAAGAATTAGTGTGTTTGAATTATGATGTTGGCGAACAATATTGAGATGCTGTGAACTGCCAGAAGACCACACATGTCTTTCTTGGAAGAAGTAGAGCCAGAATATGCCTTAGAATTGAAAAGAGCAACACCTAGTTTCACTTACGTTCGACATGCTCTCAGGAGTGATCAGTCCCTGAAGAAGGACATCATCTTTGGTACGGTAGAGGGGCAGAGGCAAACAGGGAGCCCCTCAGAGAGATACAGCTGCACAGTGGTTGTAACCATGGACTTGAAAATAAGAACAATTGTGAGGATGGTACCAGCCTGGGCAGTGTTTGGTTCCAATGTACATAGGGACATTGTGAGTCAGAACTGCCTCCCTAACACCTAAGGACAACAAAATGATTGTTTAGACCACCTATGCGCTTCAACATCTATCTGACCAAATCCACATACCTTACAAACACTGAATTTAGTGACTAAAATCCTCTTCCTTAGTGCTTGGTTTAAAGAAGCCTGGATTTTGAGTTACAAGCATAATGGTTTAGAATCCATCACTCTAAAAACTGGGTCAGGATTCCACACATATACTCGCTCTACATTTTTATGTCTAGATTGCAAGAATCTGAATTATTAATAGAGCAGAGCAGCGTGGCAGAAAACTTAATGCTGCCCTACATTCCCCGCTTTCCTAGAAACACGAGAATTAGATAGTCTGCCGCCAGAACTGACAACTTCATCTTCAAATTTAAGGATTTTGCAACTTTTGTTAATAGGATAAGAATAAACGAAAAAGATCTGAGCTGTGCTTATTTAGTAAAGGCCAATAGACGAAAGGAGGATCCTACTGCAAAATTGATTGTGCACTTCCCTGCTGATCCATGCCCCTTACTATATTGTAATTACTATACTGTAATTTCTAAATTTTGACCACCTAACAGACAGGGCTACTCTGTCTTGTACCAGTCCCTATGAGTTAGAATGGACTTGACATCTGTGTTTTTAAGATTTTTATTTTAACTTAATGCATATTAAATCATACATTTTATTGCACCTAAACCTCATGTTTGATGTTTGTTTCTGGTTGAGACTTTACAGATCATCAGCTTTCCTAAGAGAATCCAGAACCCAAATTCTTAATCCTTTGGCAGTGTGTTCCAGGCATTCAGTCCTTAAAGGAAGGATTTTCTTCCACAATTTAAATAATGGAAAGGGCATATTTTATGCAAAACATTGGAGCTTTCTCTCTCTTGTCTAACTGGTATGCATGCCACTTTCGTGTTACTCATAGAGTCAAACCTTCGACCTATAAAAGGTAGAAGAAACCTGGAACCTGTATAAGGTAGAACCTGCCAGAGAACTAAAATGCACACAAGTTCCTGAATGAGCGATAGAAAAGTATTGGGCTCCACCCTATCAAAGGTGGAAAAAGTTGTGCTACCTGGAAAAGTCTTGTCAAGTGACAACTTTCATTGTCATCTATTTCAGTGTGCTCTTTTGTAGGCCTCCTTCCTTCTTTATCAAAGTGAAAAAAGGGATAAGAATGATCTAGTTTAATTTTAGTCAAATCTACATTTCTATGGAGTTCAGAATAACAAAGACACTCACTGAGAATGGCCTTGTCTGATTTGTTTCATATATATATATATATATATACACACACACACACACATATATATGTAGATATACACCTTGTGATTGTTGGAAGTCTTGTGAGTCAGTGATGGCTCCCTGGAGTAATGGAGTAAATAGCTCATAGGACGCTTAAGTTCCCACGCTCTTTTCAAAACCAATACATCATTTTATTATCTTTTTGACATAATTCTATTAGTTCATATTGAATGATATTAGGTTCATTTTTATTCCTATTTAGGAACAGAGTTTGTATTTTCTTTACGTTCTACCTACTTACAAGTTTGTAATCAGTTAGTCTTTTCTTTCATAATTAATACACACACACAAAATCAATGTGCTTCAAATAACTTGAAAGGAGTCTACTACAAGATTTAATGAAGAATACCAAGGGATCGCGGGAACTAAGGGGGTTAACAATTCTTCAGAATGAATGTCTAGTTGTTATTGGATACATCAAGTTGGCTTCGACTCATGCTGTGCACCACAGAACTGAACACTGTTCAATCATGCTCCATCTTCAGCTCCTGGCCATATTTAAGCCCCTTGTTGCAATTCCTGTGTTAATCCATCTTGTGGAGGGTCTTCCCCTATTTTTTGCTGGCCCTCTATTTTCTCAAACAGGACATCCTTCTCCAGGGTCGGTTCCTGGGGGAAGAAACACATCAGAAAATCATTTCAATATAACAAGTAATACATCATCTCTAAGAAAATTTATAAAATATGTAATGTTTATCGATTAAATTTTTTCAAATAGTTATTTTCCAAACCGTAAATGAAAAGATAAGATAGGATACGTGTTGCTTTCAATGTAAAGTAAGAAGAGTCTGGAAGGGTCACATTAGAGAAAGGATCCATCACAATGCTGTTCCTTGAACAGCTTAATTTACGATGGGCAAATGCAACGGCTCTCAAGACATTCAGGGAAAGGAAGATGAGGCGGGCTGTTTCTGTAATATATTATATTGTAAAATGATATTATCTGTTATAATAACATAATATTATAACCTGAGGAGCCCTAGGAGGCGGTCTCCTTTGTCCTTTACAGCCGCGTTGAGTTAGAATGCCCTGGGCCAACAGTGTGTGGGTGCTTGTATGTGCATTTTAACTTTTAACTTAAGTCAACTTAATGCATGTTCAGCATACATTTTAGTTCCCCTAAATTCCATGTTTAATATTTGTTTTGGGTTGAGACTTTACAGATTGTCAACTTCTCTGAGTGCTTCCAGAACTCAAATTCTTACTCCTTTGGCAGTGTGTTGAAGGCATTCAATCCTTAAAGACCAACAAACAAAAACCCTTGTGGAAGCATTTGGAAATTTCCCTTGTGATGGTTATGCTGTTGCTACTTGTGGACGCATAAC